TAATTTTTAATCACTCGGTGAGTTCCATACTATTTTACTTGATTAAACAATAATTTTTAATCACTCGGTGAGTTCCATACTATTTTACTTGATTAAACAATAATCAAAAATAGTAATTTTTAATCACTCAGTGAGTTCCACACTTTTTAATTGATTAAACAATACATAAAAACAATAATTTCACTAGAAAACATAATTGTAAAACATTTCACGAAATGTTTTCTCGAACAGTCCTCTAAATGACTTGACATTTAAAACATATTTCTTTACTTCTCCATCCTTGTTCCACCCTCCCCCTTCCTCCGTTTTGAATTACGCCATTCACAGAGGTATTTTTATTTAGAGTGTGAAAAAGACTTTTAAATAAATCAACTGAAAAGTTGTATATCTGTAGTTTTTTTATTGTGCCTACTAGCCCCATTTACTAGAAGAAGAAGGGGTAAGTTTGCCTACTATGACATCTGTCGCTGAACTCCAAGGAAATAACTATCCCAAAAACCGAAACACCAAAAGAAATTACAGGATCACCAGTAACATTGCTATCTTCGCCCATGCTTCATTAAGCTTCCTATCCCTTGTAACACCAACAAAGTGATCACTAATCACACTTTCTATGAGAACTGCCTTATTTATTGTTATTCATTATTCTTTGAGTCTTAGTTGAATTGGACTTGTCAAAGACCTATCGCAAGTAATTGTCTTACTTGTGTTGTTTTTTGTATTGTTTGTGATAGCTTATTCCACTGTCTTCTTTTAATGATCCTATCATAAAAAAAGAATATAATAATTGAATAGTAACCTGATTCATATGTTACTTTTTTTCAAAATTCCCTTCTAAAGCAACACAAACCTTTTAGGTTTTCAAATACAATTTTGTGGCATCTCACTCATTTTTCTTTTTTAACAATATTGTTTTGAATGCCGCTAGGATGTAAGGAAAGTTCTCATTACACATTAAAATCATAACCGCTGATTTACACGAAATATTACAACTTAGTTGCAACTATAAAGAAAACCTTAGTAACAGTTCTAAGTTTTTCAACATATTATAAGCACCCACGTTAACGGATGATGACGTAATCTATTAGGCGCCACTGTTTAGGCGGGCATAGCTTAGTGGTTAGTAGCTTAGTTGGACTGCAGATCGAACGTTCCAAGGTTCGAGACGTCTTGCCGCTGAAAAAGCTCTGTACTTTTATCTGTGAGTGCATTTGAAGAGTGACAGTAGATCCCGCTATTTGTACGCAGCTCATTGGTTGATCTCCTTAGTGTGTTTTTAAAAAATACAAAAACTTTAATGTTTAACTTCCAGATTGTTTGTTTTAAGTCGACAGATATATATATATACATATAAGTGTTTCCAAATATAATTTAAGTAATTATATATCATTGGCTTTAATAATTAACATTCAATTTTAAGTGTTTTTTATATTTTTGTAAATTTTACACTAAAGAGGGCCCGGCATGGCCAGGTGGCTAGGGCGCTCGACTCGCAATCTGCGGGTCGCGGGTTCGAATCCCCGTCACACCAAACATGCTCGCCCTTTCAGCCGTGGGGGCATTATAATCTGACGGTCAATCCCACTATTCGTTGGTAAAAGAGTAGCCCAAGAGTTGGTGGTGGGTGGTGATGACTAGCTGCCTTCCTTCTAGTCTTACACTGCTAAATTAGGGACGGCTAGCGCAGATAGCCCTCGTGAGGGTTGGAAGAGTACCTTTGTTTTCCCAAGGCTAATTGAGAGGCTCATTAGCTGTGATGCTTCAGAATACTTGTTAACAGTAATTTCTAGATCACTATGTTTCTGTTCAAGTAGGGCACAGTCATCTCAGACATGACCTTCTGAATAAATTGTTCAATTGTTTCACTTTTTGTGGTAAGCCGTCGAAGATTAAAGAATCAGTCATCTTGTCGATATCTGATGTAAACGTCTTCTGAAAGATCTCTGACCACATAATTCAGGACACAAGAAAAGAAAAGATTTAATAGAACAAAAGCCCGGATATATTCTTGTTTGATGCCATTAAAGACGTCAAAAGCATCTGATAATTTACTTATTGAGATGACTTAACCTGTCATGTCCTCTTGAAAAAGCAGAATGGTATTTACAGACTTTTTTCTGAGGATTATTTAGAAGCTTTCCTTGTTAAATGTATCAAAGGCCATTGTAAGATCAGTGAAGTTGACATACAAGTTCTTGTTCTGCTCTCTGCATTTTTCCTCTACTTGCCTCACTATAAAAATCATGCTACATGTAGATTGCAAGCCACATTGAGCTTCGGTATATACGTTTTCTGATATATTCGAGATAAGCTGCTTTAGAACTATGCACGCCAATATTTTACTTGCGATGGAGAGAAAGGAGGTGCTCTAATAGTTGCCACAGTCAGCCTTACTGCGATTATTCTTAAAGAGTGGAATAATAGTGACATTTCTTAATGCCTTTTGGCATCATCTCTACTTCCCATAACACTGAATAACATGTTGTAAAAAATCTCAATTGTTTTGAGGCTGGCAGCTTTATAGATCTCAGCCATAATCCCACTCTTACTAGAAACTTTTTCAATGTTTATCTGGCTGCTAGTTGTCTTGAGTACTTCTATAGCAGGAATCCAGTTTAGGTCCTTTTTGAAAGGCTGTTGAGGAACTTGATCAAGGTTTTTTAGGTCTACTGAAGATAATCTGCTGAGTAGACTGCGGAAATGTTCTGCCCAATGTTGAGTGATATCTATCTTGTCTCTGACAAGCATGGTAACATGTGATGATAATAATGATTTGATACATGACCTTGATGATCCATATATGACTTTCAAGACATAAAAGAACTCTTTAGATTTTTGGTTCTGCACAGAGTTCGACCTCATGCACTTTCCTAGTATACCAGTCATTCTGTATCCTACGTAGTTTCATCTGTACACTTCTCTGCAAGTGTTTGAAATGATCTTTCTTTGAGGTTGATGTTTGATTACCCTGCTATTTTGCAAAGGAATTCCGTTTAAGAATGTGTATTTCATTTTCATTGAACAAATACTGGTGGACTTGCTTTTTGAACTGAGCACTATTTTTCTGCTTCTCTTTTGTTTGTTTGTTTTATAGCAATTCCACAATGAGCTACCTGCTATGTCCACCGTGGGGAATCGAACCCCTGGTTTTTAGCATTGTAAGTTCGTAGACTTACTGCTGTCCAACCGCTGTTCTGTCATAATTTCCTTCAACTGATTTCCCTTTTCAAGTGGGGTTTCCTTCTCCCATGGGCAGACATTGCACTTTTTTTCTAACTCTGGTTTTGGTTCCTTACGATAATCAAGATGTTTCAGTTTAGCTGTTTAAAAACTACTCATGTCAGTTTCAGCTACTTGCATTGTACCGTCAGAGCGACCTCTGTGACTAGTCAATGGATAACTGCCTTGTAACTATCCTGGTTAAAGTTGTATATATTATGTATTTTGTAATGTATCTCTGTATACTTATTTAGTTAGTTAGTTGTTTTTTACTTTTATGTATGTATTATTATTATTTTAAAGATTTGTCTTACATTCTTTTTATGGACTTTATTTTATTTTACCTCAAATGCTTTGCTTTTAAAGAATTGTAAAATTTTTTTTGCAACCATACATGTTAAATACTTTCTTATTTTATACTGTTGTTGTATCTTTAATATTTGATTTACCTTTTTGTTTTTCTTTATTTCTACTATTATTGTTCAAAACTTACAGATTTACTAAACATTAACAAAACTTGATAAACAGATGGCGTAAGGAGAGATGTTTCAGGTTGCTACTCGGTGGTATATGTTTTTAATCTGAAGGCTCGTTAATTCGTATTATTATCATTATTATTTTTTTCTCAGAAAATGTCAGACGCAGAGGATGATTTTATGTGTGACGATGAGGAAGACTATGACTTGGTAATATGAAAATTGTTTTTCGTGAATTAGTAGCATTACTGCTGTAATGTTAGAAAAACATTTTTTTCACGTACATAACAAGGAGGATTAGGCTTAGTAAAATGACGAGATCACACGTTTATTTTTTACGAGAGCTAAATTGACCGGTGAAAACTGGTTTGAAGTTTTCAATTGTAGTGGAATTATTTTTGTATATAAAATATGTAGTAGTAAATATGCGTAGTTTGTCTGCAGAATGAATAATTCTTGCATAACAGAAGGATTACATGTAATTGTAAATCTACATGTTTTTATACTCCAAAGAGTTACTAGAATTTAGAAAGAGAAATATATATTTTTGTATAGAAAAAAAGCAATTTTTTACCATTTGTGCACATATATTTGCAAATATATGTGTTAAATGTAGAAGAGTATTATGAGAAACCCACCTTTCTTTAACTGTAGTTACCACTGCAACTAGTAGAAGGAATAACGTAAGAAAGGTTATTGCGTGGGAGAAACTACTACTATATATACTACTAATAGTAATAGTACAGTGCAAGAGCATGATTTTAGTTTCACAAAAGGTTTGGGTATGGGACAAAGAAAACCTGACTAGAAATGTTTCACAGAAATGCCATTTGAGCCCCCTCCCAAAAGACATCCATGATAGAATATAGTCTACAGTTCTCTAGAAAGATGCCTATGCTAAGACAATAAAGCCTACATTTTTTAGCAATAAAAAGTAAAGGGTAGTAAAAGTCATACTGCATGTGATACTTATTTTTTCAGGGTGAAACTAAAATGGTTACTTAAGATTTTTATGAAATATAAAATGCTTGGCAAGAAAAATGATACTTTTTGCTTGAGCTTAAAGTATTGCTTTCCTGTGAGAGTTGTGCTAATGGCAAATAATTTCATTTTGTAACGAGGTATTTAAAAGCTGTGTGTAGAAACTAATGAAGATTTAATTCTGTATTCCACATCTTGAACAGTTGATAGATGGAAAGGAGATCAAATAAGATGACTGCATTAATTCTGAGCTTGTTAAGGAAACATTGGGAATTTTAAAGAATGATAAGGCACCTAGGCCAGATAATATTTCCTCAAGGGTTTTGAAGGAAGTTAAGGATTAGATATGTGCTACTATTTTTTTCTAAGTCCTTGAATAGTGGGCAGGTACCAGAAGATTCAAAGTTAGCTAATGTCACTTTTCTTTTCAAGGGAGGTGATAAAAATTGTCCCAGTAATTATAGGCCCATTAGTTTTACATCAGTTGTGGGAAAAGTTCTAGAAAGTCTGATAAAGATGCTTTGCAAAGCCTTTTAACAAGCTTTAGAATTTTATTGGATAGTCAACATGGTTTTGCTAAGGGAAAATCTTGCCTTACAAATCTTTTGACATTCTCTGAAAAGGTTACTACTTATGTAGATGAGGGTACAAGTGTAGATTTGGTGTACCTAGATTTTCAGAAAGCATTTGAAAAGGTGCCACATAAAAGGCTTGTAAAAAAATTCTCTTTAAGTTTGGTGGACAAGTTAGCTAATTGGATAGAAGAGTGGCTGGATGGAAGAAAGCAGAGAGTTATAAATGGAGTTCAGTCAAACTGGATTAATGTTATAAGCAGAGTACCTCAAGGCTCAGTCTTAGAACCTTTGCTCTTTTTGATTTACATCATTGACATAGATGAAGGAATGGTCAATAAATTACTTAAATTTGCAGATGATATTAAGGTCTTGGGTGTTGCTAGCTGTGAAGAAGATGCTGATTTACAAAGGATTTAGATCATTTAGTGAGTTGGGCAAATAAATGGCAAATGTATTTTAATTATAAAAAATGCAAGATAATGCATGCTGGGTATCATAATTTGAATTATAAGTATAATTTGGGTGGGAATAACCTTAACAGTGTCCTGAAAGAAAAATATTGGTGTAATGGTTGATTAGTCTCTTAAGCCATGCAAGCAGTGTGCTGTTGCTAGTGGTAGGGCAAATAGGATTTTAGGTTGTATCTACAGATATATTGAACACAAGTCTAAGGAGGTTATAATTGCATTGTATAGGTTGTTGGTTGGGCCACATTTAAAGTATTGTGTGCAGTCTTGGGCTCCATACCTTAGGAAGGACATTAAATTGTTGGAAAGGGTTACTAGTATGGTGCCTGGGATGGAAGGGTTGTTATATGAGGAGAGGCTGAAATCTCTCAAATTGTTTTCTCTTGTAAAAAGAAGATTTAGGGAGGATCTGGTTGATGTGTTTAAGATTTTAAAAGGAATTGATGATATTGATGCATCATCTTTTTTCATATTTAGGAGTGAGAATAGTAGGGTTAAAGGACACAAATATAAATTTTGGCAGGGTAGGAGTCTCTTCAGCTAAGACAGTTTTATTTTTCTGGGTGGTTGGCCTTTGGAATGGATTGTCTTTGAATGTTGTGGAGGCAATAAATTTAAGTGAGTTTAAGTGAAAGTTTGATAAATATATGAATGATAAGGGCTGGCTTTAAGATTTTGTTCTTCAAATTTATCTATTTAATAGTTTAGAGGATGGGACAGCCAAGACGGCCCAATAGGCCCCTTGTTGTCCCAAAACATTATGTTATGTTAGTAGTGAAATGGTAGCTTTGGACACTGATAAAAATTGATATATGTATGTATCTGTAGGATTTTTAAATTTTTTATATTTTGTATTAATGTGAAAATTGAAACATTTGCTTGGTGATGAAAGCTTAGATCTATATATCTTATTGCTACTATAATGCTCAAGTGAAATCAGCAGGTGGAAACTTACTGAAATGATTAAACAATTTAACACTTTTTTTTTAAATTCTTGCACTTATGTAAATTGTAATGGACAGTGACCCTGAAAGTACTTGTAAAACTGCAAGGGTGTATTTCAACATAATTCCAATAATGCCTTTATTGAACAGAATTTTTCCTTAGCCTTGTGCCTGTCTGTTTACTTTATTTTTCAAACTAGGAAACTTTTAAAGAAAACCTTTAAGAATGTACCAATCAATGGTGACACCTATAAGTCACCTTCAGTGTACTTTATCCACCTGTTCACCACTAGGGCACACCATTCATCACCAGTTCAGTAATGTTATTTATACTTCAGAGTTATTTGTTAGTCCCAATAGATAATTAACAAGATTATTATTACTGTGAGTTAAATTGTGTGCTAAGCAATTACTAAACCTTTTGTAGTAGCTATAGTGCTGAGAATTGAAATGCATATTAAAGATTTAACAAACTGTTAGTAGTTATAGTACTTCCTAATAGTTAGAACATTTGTTAAATAACTAATTTCATAGAAGGGCTACTAGGATAAATCCAGGGATGGAATTTTTATATATTATGGGAATAGACTAAGATCGCTTAACTTGTATTTTCTTGAGAAAATAACGGTAAGAGGTCATCTTAATGAAGTTTACAAGGTTATCTAAGGAATCAGAGATCAATAGGATAAATTTTCGGATTTTTTTATGTTGACTTTTTCAGAAATTGAATGAGAGGATACAAGTTTAGGATTTAGAAGACAGAGTAAGCTCCAATTAAGACAGTTTTATTTTTCTAACAGGGTGATTGGATTATAGAATGAGTTGCTGTCAGGAGTATTGGATGCTAGCATTTATCAAGAATATAAGAGGGGAGTTGATGATTTCCTGAAAAATAAAGGGTGGGTTTAATTTTTCATGGGAGTAGGTGTGCAGGAACATGTTTGAAAAATCATGTTCATATGTCCACGTGTTTAGAGTGTGCAAATAAATATATTTTTCTTTTTTCTACCATAAAAATTACTTAAATGTTTATGAACTTTCAACCTTAAGAATATTTCCAAGAAAAATATAGTAATTGGTGAAGCAGCACAGCTTTTAAAATAATTAATTTTGGCTTTAGATCCTTGATCTTTTAACTTTTCCTAGAGAGGAGGTGGATAGTTATTAGACCCTACGGCTCTAGGTCAGTTAAAAAACCAGTTACCAAGAAATTTTATAATATTGGGTCCTGCCAACCTGTTGCTTTTTCAACAGTTGCATGTGCTCTAATAACTAAAACACATAAAAATAGTTTGAGTGTTAGTTTAATTGTTTCTTCAATTTTAAATAAAGTATTGTTACATACACTACTAGGTAAGTATTAAATATATTGTCTCTGATATCGAATTTATAAGAGATGAGGTATATACTCGCTATGCATAATAATGCTATTATTTTTTTTCACTGTGTAAAGTTTTTCATAATCTATTAGATAGTGTTATTTGTAGTATCTATCAATGTAATGTCATTCATCAATACACTATTGGTTGTACATCTGAAAACCCTAGTGGTGGAAGATTAAAAATCTTGGAATGAGATAAGTAGTAGTTCTTACAGTTTTTTAATGTTTAAATGTACATTAATAGTCAATTAATATAGAGCTCCAATCTGAGAACTCAGTTTTATGAATTTCTATATAATTTCTACTTGATTATAAAGATAAACTTCTAAAGCTGTGACATTAGAGGTATTTTTGTTTAATGTAATTGTGACACCAGATTTTCATATTAAATCTGTGTGTTAAAATGAACTTAAAGAAAAATAAAGTCATGTCTGATTGCTCTCATTCCAGTGTGTCTTCTGATAAAAATGAAAAAAATTGGTATAAGTAGGTAAACGTTTAAAATAAGTATCTTTAAGGAGACAGGTGTTCAAGTTTTTGAGATTTTACTAATTTTATTTTTTGTTTACATAAAACTAAGAAAACCAGTTTAGCAAACTAATATTTTCACACCAGTATCAAATAATATATTCTCACATCACATTGGTAACTGATAACCAAATTTTAACATCAAATTTATATAACTATATATTGCTAAATTTGTTGTAAATTTTTCTTTTCCCCACTAAAATCTGTAATTTATATAAAACTGTTTACTTCAAATTTTTAGGAATATTCAGAAGATAGTAATTCAGAGCCTGATGTGGACTTGGAGAACCAGTACTATAATTCTAAAGCGTTAAAAGAAGAAAATCCTAATTCTGCTATATCAAGTTTCCAGAAGGTTTGTTGCATGAAAGTTATCTATGAAATCAACCTTGAGAAAGAGAAAATAAAACTATTTCAAACAAATATTTAGAAATTCATTTTTTACACTATCAGTGATATATAACTATTACTCCATTTTAAGCAGATTTAACTTAGAAAATATATTAGATGTTGGAATGAATAGTGTTATGAATATTTATACATGACCTAAAACTTAGAAATGTTGATTATGCTAGTGTGTCATGTTATGCTTAATAATGTTTTTGTAAGCATCAGATGTTTTTTACAACCGTTTAACTAAAAGCTGCTAAAGTATTTTTGGCAATCTGGCTGGTAGTATCTTAAGCAGTGAATCAATATGTGACTAATTTATTTGCAATTTAAATTTTTAATAAAATATATATGGTATATTTTGTGTTTTTTTTAAATAATTAGATTTTTAACTTTCCCCTACTACTGTACTAGTTCAAAGAAGAGACTTTAAAGAGCAGGTGAGAAAATGTGAAATGGAAATTACTTTAAAATCTTACAGGTTCTAGATTTGGAAGGTGATGACAAAGGAGAGTGGGGTTTCAAAGCATTAAAGCAGATGATTAAAATTAATTTTAAATTGGTAAGTGCATTACACAGTTTAAACATCTGTGTAATTTATCCATTTTGAAGAATAATTTGGCACTCAACATTTTAGATTTCTGCATACTAACACTTTTTACAAAACATCAAAGTATTACACGTTGGTTAGAAAAGCTGTTTTATGCAACATATTGTTTTAAAAAGTAAAGTTTGATATGACATTTAAAACAATTGTTCTTCATCATTCTTTCATGCTAATCAAAAGGCTTAAAAGTAAAGCTCTGGTGATACGTGTAGAGAATTACAACAACATCACACGCATGAAAAATCTTAAGTCACTTCTAATACCTAAATTTATATTTCCAAACTTTTCTTTCCACTTCTTGGATCAGACTTAAGAAGACTGACAAAAATCTTAACAAGTTTGTACACTTACACTTCTATACTTCAGAGAAAATAGGGTGTCAAGATTGTTGCCATTTTGTTTGTTTCTAAAATATGCAGTGATCTGCACATTTCTCTCATGTAAGTTAAATAAATAAAACATTTTACTGTTACTTGTAATAATGTTTTTATTTAATATATATCATGATTTCTATTAGAAATAATTAAATAGCCAATTTATTTATGTACATTGTTTTAATACATAAACACAAAATAATTCATAAATAAGGATTTGTATCATCAGAATATTTTGTCATCACCTACTGTACTTGCTAATCCTAACTAAACTTATCAAGCTGAAATAATCTAATGTACAAGCACTTTTCTGAACAAACATAACTCATAAAGAAACTATACAAAAATTCCTAGCACTTTAATTTGTTCCTAAGTGTTCAGAACTTCCCACTGAATGCCTTTGGTCAATGCTGTAGGACCTCTGAACAGAAACTTTCCCATTAAACCATGAATTGATGCTCAAACTATTTTCATTTACTCCTCTGTTACTTGAAAAGTATAATTCTTGCTTATCAAATCTTATTTAAACTGAGTTTATAGCTGTTTCAGAGGTAAGTACTTGTTTGAAATTAATTAAACGTGTAGAAGTTATAGTCAGAGCACTTTACTATTAATAATTGAATCTCCCTGTTCTAGTTTTTTTTCCTTTGAAGACATTTTGAAAATGTCTTTAACATGATAGACATTCCAGTGTTTCTGCTGCCAATCACCATTAAGCATTTTGAAAAAAACATGTTTGGCCATTTGAAGATTCTGTACTTAGTGAATCTCTAATGTCGAGATGACTTCACGGTGTTGTGCTGTGACATCATGAAAGGGTGTCGACCATGAAAAAAAAATAATTGCCAGAGATGTTTTACAATAAATATTTTTTTATAAATTTAAAATATATTTCAATAAGTACTACATCTAACAAGCTCTAATAAATCTTTCTATACATATTACTGTTGTTGGTCAAATTGTATGTATTCTTGAATATGTTTTGAAAAATAATTTTCTTTCCAATCATAACAGATGTCGTCAATTCACTGACACCTGATATATGTGTATGGCCAAAACTAGTTGTGATTTTTTTTTTTAATTTTACTTGAGGTTTGTTTAGGGTAGATATTGAAGTATCTACCCGTATAAGAGCACTGTTGTACTTCATGAAATTGGTATTACTAGGAAATAATAGTTAACATAAGTTACATATGCTTAGTCCTTGGGAGGATCAAGTGTACAATTTTATATGAACACAAATATCCTGAAGTGATTAGTGCTGGTGATGAACAAATATACACAACTTCACTTAGGCAAACAAGTATTTGGATACTTTAGGTGTGTCTTCACTGTACAAAGGGATGATAAACTTAACAGCACATGCCACTTGTTAGAGGTAGAGGAGAATAAGATTATCATTGGTATAAAGTTTGTTATTATTTTGTATACAACAATATTCTAGTGCAAGGTGAGTCAACAATTCGTTATTTAGAATCAGTAAAATTATGATTCCACACATCTTTATCACGTTATTTATATTAGGTAACATTGCAAGAAACAATAAGGGGTAGGCAGGTAGGATTTTTCTTTTTTTTTAATTAAACATTAACACAGTGCTGTAGCATACTGTTATCAAATAGAAAATGTAATTCTTGTATTTTATCAAAACAAGAATTAAGGTGATTTCAGTTTTATTTTTAGTTTGATATGTGCTCTTTTAGCAAATGTGCATTTTGTTTACCCCTTGTATCATATTTACTTGCCATAAGGCCTTTGGGGTTATAGTTCTTGTTTCTATATACAGTTTCCCAAGTAAACTTTCAGTTAAAATGCACTAGTAAAAATAGTAATTTTATTTGATTTATATTGACTATGCCAAATCTCTTCATGAAAATATTTAATACATTTTTATAAAAATATCTTTCATTAACACACACACTATACATTGTATACATCAATATTCAAATTAATAAAATAATAATTTTCAAAATAACTTAACTGAATGAATAGTATAAAGATTGCAAGATGTTATTTTTTTCTGTTTCAGAGGAACATGTAGGCATTGTTGACTTGTAAACTCTTAAGTTGTAATGAAAGAAAATTACTTTTGATTTGGATATACAATTATTTACTTGTAATATGTGAATATCATCTACAAAATAAAATAAACCACAAACTTTCCATAGGCAACAGAATTGAATAAGTTGATACTGTACAAAATAAAAACTCCCAATATTCCAAAATGTCCCTAAATAAAATGTCATTTCCAGATATTGCACCATCTGCGTAACAGTGTGAGCATTTTAGAAGTTTATTTTAAATATGACACTCTAAAACTTTTCCACAAAGTAGTTTGATAACTTCACACACAAAGAAAGTATTTGGCTATTTGCAAGATTTTTAAAATGAACAAGAGAACACTTCCGTTATCATAACAAATGAAAGCATGGGTAGAGAGGCATATAAACACCTTTGTATTAAGCTATTTCTCTGAACAAGTAAGTCATTGCTTATTAATGCATCATATTAGAGACACTGGGGATATTAGTATAGTTTTCTCAATAAATTGAAAGAAGCATTGCTGGAAAAAAAATTAAATTTATACAAAAATACTGGTAAGATGCATATAATAAGTTATCCAATTAGACTTGTTAAAAAAAATTTGAATAATAATGAAAGAATAAAAACACAACTATCTTATAATTTATTTTAATATATATATATATTTATGATGATGACAATGTGGACTTTCTTTAACTTTCTCAAAGTTATATTTTGTGGATAGGTTCATTACAGAACTTTTTTATACAAATAATGGGTTAAAATGTCACTTACTGACAAACATCCGGTTATATTATTTGGATATTTTTTGGAAAAAAAGGGCATAAAACTTGTAGGGTTGTAGTCTTTCAGGGTCAGTTGAATTTCTACAAAAAACTTTTTTTTTTCATAAACCTTATTAAAACTATTGCAGTCACAGTATATTTATACATAATCAATCATTGGATATGCTTTTATAATTTTTTATACAATATAAATATGATGTAAAAGCAAATCTATATGTTATGTTTTTGTTTTGGTTACCTTAAAATGATTAATATATGCAAAAATTTATTTTATTATGATTTTTTGAAAATCAGTTAGTACATTTACATTTGTAATTTATTATATGGTTGAAAGGCTAGCATAGCTAAGTTAATAAAGAATACTGCTTCACAAGTGTTCTTTCTCTGATCAGAGAGTTACGGGTTTGAGACATGCCAGTGGCCATCACAGCTTCCACCCGAACACAAGTTCAAGAAAGTAAGAGGTGGTGTATTATATATAACACACACACACACACAATGTAGAAAAAATATACTTCATTTAATACTAAAGAATACAGTTGTAATAACAGGAATTTCACACCTTATCAGACATTAAAGAATCTAGTTATGCAATTATAAACATAATATAAAATGAAAAAACCAATAAGTTTATGCTTTATTTAATACTAAGGTGGCTCAAGAGTTGGAAGTGGGTGCTACCAGTCAATGTCTTCCCTCTAGTCTAGAGATGATGGCAGGTAGTCTTAGAAGTTTGCCTTAACTTAAAAACAATTAAACAAATATAATGTCCTGTAACTGATTAGGAAGGAATGTTAGGTGGCAATGGGAACTTAACCTGAGACTCTTGAATTGCGAAACAACCCCCTCTTAACCACCAGGCTATGCAGGCCCAAAGCCAAACAAATTTGAATTAATCACAAAATAATGATAATGTCAATGTTTCGGTTATTTGGGAAGTTGGAAACTCAAATGTAGTAATAATGAGAAACTCTAATTTTCATTAGTTTTTATTATCTCTTATATCTTATAATGTACTAATAATAAATCATTATTTCTATTATATGTGACAGTAATCAGTTAATTTGAAAAAAAAACTGAATCAATTGAAAATCATAATGGCAATATCATGAGTACTTGTATAGTTGGAATAACCTGAAACACTAATTTACTGAACCCTTGTTAATCCATATATCTACAATCTGGATGATTTCTCACCTGCAGAAGTCTCACAATAGATAATTTAATCAGTAATATCTATATTCACATTCTGAATCCAAACTGCTATTTCTTATACCAATGCATTTCCTATGGATACATGATTCAGTACACAACCTGATTCCACAAGACTCAAGTTAGGGGAGATCAGAAGAGGAAACATTACTGACCACAAAAAACCTACACTCTAATGTGTAATGGTTTATGATTTCTGAGAAAGTTGTTCACTCACAATACCGAATTATGGCAATTCTTCTGAAAATAACCTTTACAGTAGGCATGTATGTATAAACTATAACAGATATCAAGAGATCATCAGAATGATGTATGCTAGAGTGCTCCAAATGAAGATGCACAGAAATATCAGCATCATTAGAATGTGATTTTTGTTCATGCAAGAAAGCAATACATGTAATTTGTATTCTGTAACATAGTTATTGGTTTGATCAAAATTATAATTCACATTAACATAATGACATACCACTTTGATTCTGTAACTTCTATAATTATTGACAACATAAAAGACAACAAACTAAATTTATTGAACGTAATGTTGGTTTTTGTTTAACAGTTGCATCCCCATTCTTACATTTATCAATCAATAATGCATGCTATTTAATAGTGACTGATTCATTTATCCAGATTTTTCAATAATTGGAAAAAATTACTTCATTGGAAATACATTTGGATTAATGAGGTTACACTTTAATTAGAAACACTAATTTCAATTAGTTATTTTCATGACATTAGCATGAGTTGAGATTTATGCAAGTTTATAATTAATTTTATTCTGTTCACAAGTATTTTAATAAATGAAAAACATCTTTTTGAAAATTTAAAATAAACTCTTGAATATATCTGGATAAAGATGTATTATTTTCTAATTATGAAAAGGTAGAATATGGCAGTTTTAAACTGCCATATTAGAATCTTGTGCACTCTTGTTCACAAAACAACTCCTCTAATTGAAATACATTTTTCAGCATTAGCTTGTGTCTTATCCGGGTCAATTTCTCTATAAATTAATATCTCCACTAATAAGAAGCTCTCTTCTATTGACAAAAGTAACTTGTATGTATTCATATCAAATGAACATTCAGACTAAGAGGCTTACAGAAAATATCAGTGAGCAGCTTTTCTTTATTTTTTTTTTTACCAAGAACCCAAAACATTTGGCTATTTTGGTTCACAAATTTCAGTCATTTCTAGCAAAATCAATCCAGTCCTTTTTATTTGCATAGTCCAGTACGGTGGACCTTAACCCTATGCATATGGAGGTGTCACATATTTGTGCATATCACAACCTTTACAGTGTTATGTTCAAAACTTAATCAAACAATTTTATTATTAATTTATGTCAATAAATTTGACATAAAAACATAATTCAAAGTTTAGTATTATCTGTGTTTTAACGTAATTTGTAAAAGGAATATTTAAAAAAATTCTAATTCTTCATTTTTTCTGTGTCATGGGATGCATCTGAACTCCAACTCAAAATTTTCCAACTTCAAAAATAGGCTGCTGCAATTCCAAACACAAACTATACATAATCACAAGTAAAGATCTAAATTCTGCACCTCCTATTTTCATGATTTGCCGAGATATCAATAAATTTGTCGAACCCATCAGAGGTGTACCCCATCTCTCTTTGACTTTGATTTGAGATTGTTTGCTAATCAAGTTTACATGACTGATGGACATGTTTGTAACTAATAGCTAGAGTATATTCTCTTGTATGTGAATTATAGTACAGTCTTTTCAGTTGTGGCAGCAAAATATTCAGTCTATAGGAATTTCTTCATTTGTTGTGATCATAATAATGCTCTGAATGACTAACAGAATTTTTTTTAACCAACTGCTTACTTAAAAAATCAGCTACATTGTAGTAGTTTTAAGACATTCTAGTTTAGTTACTTTGATATGTCTTTTGTGTTCTAAGATACATATTTGAAAAGTAAATGAATTATTTTTGGAAATGCCCAAATTTTTGAGGTTCAACAAGGCTTATGGAATTCTTTTTTTATGTAAGTTTTTATTTATAGTTATATTTTTTAACAAAAGTAACTGATGTAAAAATCATAAACTCAGCTTAGCCGAAGAAAACTTGAGTAAAATATTATGTGTAAAATTTTGTAAGCTCTAGGTAATGGACATGCTTGTCATAGGATTACATTCTGTTTATGTTATGGTCTGCTGTGACTTCCACTGTGATTTATTGCTTTGTGATGCAAGGTTTACTTCTCCAGTGGGTACAAAGTACTGCAATAAACCATAAAGAAAACAGGTATGAAATGATTAACAGTTAAAACTGTTAAGTACTTTTGATCAATACTGCAGTCAGTTCAATGGAAAAAGGTTAATATTCAATTTATTTGATGTATTTCAACTATACATTGGTGATTTCTCTATAGGCCCAAGAAACAAATATGCTGTTGGTGTTAGGGCAAAAGAAAGTAAGAGATAAAGTAAAACATTTTACCACAAAAATTTTTGATATTCATTTAAGAGGTTTAAGGTTATGCAAATGAAATATGAAGACTATAAGATGATCAGGATTATTTTTTTCTTAGCATGAAAATCACCTTTCATTGACATATCACTTAGACTGAGTTCAGTAAAGATTTTGTTAGTTCACAGAAAAATCTATCTTACAAGTAATTTATCAGAAAACCTGATTTTTTTTGTGTACAACATATGTTTAATGTTTACGAAAAGCATGCCAAATGTCATGAAAGTATGCTTAGTAATAACACAGATATATTAAAGAAATATAGCCACCATTGAACAGTGCACAATAAATATTTAAAAATTAAATTGTCCCTGATCTCAAAATATAATAAAAAATTTTGTTTTACATAAAATACTGTGAGACTGGGAACAGTTTTGCATGCACAACATATTTTAATGTGTTACTGCATCATCATTAGGAGTGCAATATTTGCACATGTTAAGACCTATATATATACAAAAATCACGTGATCAAATTCATATCTAAATTAATAGAATTTCAGGCCATCTATTAATGACATTCCCCTCTGGTTATTCATCCTTATTTAATACTTTAGAACTATTTTTATTACATTTATGGTAATATACCTGTGAAGATACTGAGATAATCAAATATAATAAAAACAATGTTAAAGTAAAGTTAAATTGTTTGTAAGTTTGGTCTTGTGGTTTTTGAAATATAATATATAGGTCTTAATGTTATAAGTGTTAATTATAAAATATGTATTCTAATATAGGAATCCGACTGTAAATTGGTTATGTTGTATAAATGCCTGTTACTCTAATAAATGTAGCCGAGTACCATCTAGTATACAACAAACTGGTGACGAGCATCCATAATGGGCCCATTGCCTGCCATGGCTACTTTTGGCAAAATTGACAAGTTTTATGTGGCGAAAGAAAATTTTGAATCTTATGAAGAATGCACACAACAGTATTTCAAGGCCAATGACATTGCTGAAGCCAAACATGTAGCAGTTTTTGAGTGTTATTGGTGCCAAAATGTATGCACTATTGAAAAATTTGTTATCGCCAGTGAAGCCGTCAGTTAAATCATATGCCAACCTAACAGCTATGTCAAAGGCTCATCTCACTCCTAAACTGCTTGTCATAGCTGAAAAATGTATTGACATTTAGTGCTGAAGTGAGAAAATGATCGAAAGATTGTGAGTTTGGTGGTTTTTTAAACGAAGCATTTTGAGATAGATTTGTGTGTGGTCTTTCATCACAAATTATTCAAAGGAAATTGTTGTCTGAAATGGATTTTTTTTACAAGCATGCTTTAGAAAAAACTATTGCAATGGAAATGGCTGAGCATGATTCACAGGAGTTACAGCAGCAAGGTGCTACTAGTGTGGCAAAAGAAGCAACAGTAGTTCAAGAACATTGTATTCATTGGGTTTGACATTCATTTGTTTGAAAAATATTTAACAATAAAGTCGTCACCCTTTAATTGTTTGCAGTTGTTTAATTTTTAAGATTTAATTTCAAAGATGGAAAGACATCCTGAATGTATATTCCTCTGGACCACCTATGTAAATGGTAGTGACAATAGGTTAAAGTATGGGTAACTTAATTTGTAAAAAGGACAAGCCATTGAAGATGTGTTGAAGCTTCTTAAAAGCTTTTAACTTACAATAGGTGCTGTCTCATGAGTTTTATTTTAAGATTAATTTCATGACTTTTTTATATCATGCAGCAACATATGAACAACTGCATATTTCTTGTATTTGATAACTGCAATATGGCATCTTTTAAATCATAACATTTATCTTGTTTACAGATTTATACAAGGAATGAAGCATGTAGATTGATGTAACAATGCAAAATATTTTTTGCAGGGTAACTTTGAAGAGATGATGTCCCGATACAAGCAGCTCTTAACGTACATCAAGAGTGCCGTAACAAGAAATTATTCAGAAAAATCAATAAACTCAATTTTAGATTACATTTCAACTTCCAAACAGGTATAGTTCAGTGATAACTTAGTGCTCTAAGAAATACTCAATTTTAGTTTACGTTTCAACTTCCAAACAGGTATAGTTCAGTGATCACTTAGTGCTCTAAGAAATACTCAATTTTAGATTACATTTCAACTTCCAAACAGGTATAGTTCAGTGATCACTTAGTGCTCTAAGAAATACTGAACAGGAATGTGTGGATAGTGCAAAAAATTATTTCTAGCGAAGTTCTTGGTGTAAGATTTTCATGAAATTTCCCAAACTTTGAAAGTCTCTTTATATAAAAAAAGGCCTGATTTTTTGAAATACACACATATGAAAACCTTAAAAAATGCATAATATTCACTTACTTCAACCCTTTATTTTCTCTAAAGTCTGGAAGCTTACGGTAAGTTTTAATATAGTTTTCATTTCTCTAACATGTGGCATAAAATGAAAAGCTAAAAGAATGGCTTTTAAAAATTTAGGAGCTATGAGCTATGACATATACAAAGTATTTGTTTTCATTTATCTTGTATATCTACACTTGACCCAAAAATGTATGCTATAAACCTCAAGCAGCAAATTTTAAACACGTTTTTGAGAAATGTTCTTTTTTCATGATTAACTGAAAAACATCATGTGAGTAAGTCAAATGTCATCTGGACAATAAGTAACTGTGTAAAAATATGAGTGTGTTATAATGATTGAAGTATTGTTGACAGCCATATACACATATCCAAACATATTTCATTAACATATGATCTCACCTTTTGTTCTGAAACCAATTTTTGGGCCACATTATATTATGCATTGTGTACTTGCTCTTTGAACCCTGATTTAAATAGACAACTTCCAGTACTCCTTTTCTAATTTAACCAGAAGATTTGTGACAGCAACCAACTCACAACTGAGATAGAACATTTGCCCATAGTCCTTCAATCAAATGGTTTTCCAGTTGGTTTCATCCTATCACACAAGAGAAAAAATCACTTCAAAATCCACAGATTCAGCCCCACAGTTCTACCTTTTATCCCAAAAGTAAGTTATAAAGTCAAAAGAATTTTGAAAACTTCAACATCAAATTCTTTTTGAAATCCAGCAAGAAGTGTTCTTACAAAAATAAAAAATCTGTCAAATAGAGATAAATTGACCAACAGTATCTACAAAATATCTTGTTCTTGTTACAAAGCCTACATAGAACTATTAAACAATGAGTTGTAGAACATCAAGATTCCAACAGACTTCTTTATCCACAAAAATTCACCTAGTTGAATGCATTTACAACACTGAGAAACACTAGAAAACTGAAAGAAGCATTCTACATTAAGACTCATTAATCTACTCTCAACTATGATCAAGGTTTAAGTTTTAATGAAATTTGGACACCCCCCCCTTTCAGTAACAAGACCATAAACATCATATTCACACAACTTAAACTCCTGGTCAATTATAATCATGCCACAGTACATCCTGACTGGAGTTTTCTCCTACATCCATGATCTCATTGCTCTCAATCCTATTTTGCTTTATTTTTTGGTTTCTATCTTCTGAAGCTCACAGCCACATTTCTACCTAATAAGTCTGAACAGCCTGAAAAATTTGACCTGATAAGATCTGTCCTAGCATCTCAAAACTTCATCCAAAGCTTCATACATAGATGTTTATGAATGAAATTGCTTTCAGTTAACATCTTGTCTTTGGAAAATATGAGGTGAACTGAATGAAAGAGGTTTCATTGTTCAAGGTATTGTAACAATCGAAGAACACATAGAACAGATAATTAGAACATTAACTTGAAAGGCTGATTGATGGAAAAAATGTTGAACACCTTCAGTGACATCTTTTGAAGTGTGATGTGCATTATCCAAACTTTCTTGAATACACTAGTGCCTCGATTATCCACGCTGGTCTGGGGAAAGCAAAATATTGTGGATAACAGAAACAGTGGATAATTGAAGCACTAGTATATCTCGCTAGTTAACCCATTGTTTAATCTAAATAAAATTTCTCAATATGTTTAAGTTCCTTGTTTGAATTTATAATTTTTTTACTGTTGTTTAATTGAATTATCATGAAAAATTATATAAGTTGTCACAATCATCATAATCATAAAAGCCAAGTGTCAGTTGGTCACACTGATTTCTCCAAATTTCCTGAGTTACACGAGTCCAATTCTACTTTTTTTCCTACAATACTTCGTCTTTTGATTGCCTGTTCTCCTTTTAGTTGAATTTAATTGCTAACGTAGGCATAAATAGCTCCTAAATTTTGGCACTTTTTCTGCTATAGACATGGAAGTATATTCGCACCCTATCAACGTCTGTGAAATTTAAGTAAAAAATTTGCGCAAATCTATGCTTGGGAATTATTATGAAAAAGCCTTTGTTAAAACAGACTGAAGATACCAATTATCTGTAGGGAAGAGGATGACTTTGCCTAAGAAGAAGAACAGGTGCGTATGCAATCTTATGGTCATCATATGTGGTTAAAGGACACCTGCCGTGCAGCACAGAACAGCAGACAACAACTGAAGTTGAGTGAAATGTTTAAGAAATTTTAATGTGTGTTTTTGTATACTATGTTTTCAATCACTAATCAGATAAAGTTAACCAAGCTACAAATATTTTGTATTTCTGTCTTAACAGCCAAAAATAAAGGATGCAAGGCTAGGCTTGAACCGGCTGAGTTTCAATTTGAATGCGCATCAGATCCTGCATGCAAAAACCATGGATATCATACAACAACTGAGCGTCAATTTCTCCAAAGCATATAAATTATTGTCTAGAGTTGTAATGGCACAATTATATTGATAAAATTTGGAGGACAAAAAAATGTGGATAGCCAAGGATCACAGATAATGGAGGGGGGATACTGGAGGCACTAATGTACTGCATATTATTCTCAATGTAATGGAGGGAGGATACTGGAGGCACTAATGTACTGCATGTTATTCTCAATGTATGTTGTTGAAATTCAATTCCCTAAGACAAATTGTTCATACATATAAACAAACAACTACTGAAATACACAGCCATCATCTCTAGGTTTTGAAGATTACAAGTAAAGATCTTGGCAAGTTCTTTAATTACAGTAGTATACAATTCATACTATGAAAATGGTGGAGTATCCATTTTTCCTTTTACATTACATCGCCATGGTGAATGTATTTTCTACTAAATACTATCATTGTAGATTAAGTCATTGACAAGTATTGATCTTACAAGATGTTTACCAATAGTTTTTATTGGTGAAGTATTTTATTAAACTTCTCTGTGTGTTTTTGTACACACTATGTATCTACCTCACATTTCATCAATATCTACTTGTATTTTCAAGTGCTTCGCATTAATAAATTGTATGATATTTATAACTAACCGTGTAATGTCTGTCATGAAACAATGTCATTAAATGTTTTTATACAAGGAACAAAAGAGGTGACAGCAGAAATTTCCACATTAACAATATCTTCCAAGTATTTTAACTATGCCATCTGATGATGTAAGCTTAAAATAATCTCTTAAAGGATGGTTAATAGAACTAGAAATTGTTTGGAAACCAGATTCTATAGATACTAAATATGCTTAACATTTAAAATATTGTAAAAGAAACTGTTAATGATGCTTTATAAGAAAGCTAATTTGGTAACCAAAATTAATTCCCTTGATTGTTATTTTTAATAGTTTTTTTTTCTTCTAAGCATGTGTATCTTTTATGCTGAATTTTTTCAGTCATTGTCTTAATTTTTGTGAATTTATTTGCAGATGGAACTACTTCAGGAATTCTATGAAACAACTTTAGAAGCTTTGAAAGATGCTAAAAATGACAGGCTATGGTTCAAGACAAACACAAAATTAGGAAAATTATACTTTGACAGATACGAGTATATAAAGTTGGCCAAAATACTGAAACAGTTGCATCAGTCTTGTCAGGTAAGTTATTTATATTATGCATACATATATATATACAAGTAGAAAAATGTGAAGATAATAAAATATAGAAATTAGGCTTGTTTCTGGTTTGAAAAGAAGAGTGCTCAAAATGTTGCTAAGTAAATAAATTACTACTACCAAATTATAACACGAAAACATAAATGTTTAGACTAAATAGCTTAAATCTCATAACATTATACATTTATATATATTTATTATTTTTATTATATTGACCGTTCAGCTGTGCACTCATGTTGCCGTATCAAATAACATAAAACTGATCTTTGGTCTGTACAAAGTAACTTGTCTTGGCTGTGTTTTAGTCGACTAGTATCTTGTAGTCAGATTTCAATTATTATACATTGTATATGTATATAGATTAATGCTATTTTGAAATAAGTTCTTAAACATATTTTTCTTCAAACATAGAACAGCAAATAAAGAAGTAAAGCAAACAACTATTTCTTCTAATTATGACCTTTATACTCGGTTGCTGCTTGACGTAGGTTGCTAAGCTTTTACAAATTTTGCACGTGGAGGATATGAAACAAAATAATTTTTTAAAAGTTTTTATATATACGGTTGAATAACTAAAAAATCATAAATTACTCCATCAATACCGTAGAATTCCACTATAATTTATCATACATGTATTTTAGTCTAAACAAATATAAAATTTTGAGCAGACTAAAGACACACCCTACCTCATTGAAATCATGGTTCAAAAAGAAAGAAATGGTAGCCCTAAAGAATTTAAAAATGGCT